ACTGAGGCAGGAGGATCATTGTGAGTTTGAGGTCAGCCTGGGCTACAAAGTGTGCTCAAGGCCAGCCTGAACTGCATAGCAAGACCCTGTCTGAAGAAGACAATATATATAAAATAAAGTTTTAAAAAATTGAGTGTGTATTGACTCAGGAATGGGTCAGATCAATAGAATTTTGAATAGGATGACCCATGCATGTACTAAAATCAATTCTATTAAAACACTGGTATTCTAAAGCAACAGAGAAGGGAAAACAACTTGATAAATGATGTTGGAGCACTTGGACATTGTTATGGTTTAGATCAAGGATGTCCCCCAGAGGTGTAGTGTACTCACAGGTGGGGCTTTTGAAAGGTGAAAGCTTTTTATAGCTGCCTTGCTCTTAGACGGTGGGGTCTGGTCAGAAGAAGCAGGTCACTGGAGGTGTGACCTGAAAGGGTGTATCTCCTTTCTAAGTTCGACTTTTTTTCTCTGCTTCCTGGTCACCATGACATGACCAGCTTTTCCTCCTCTATACCCTTCTGCCATGCCACTCTGCCTTGGAGCCAGTAGCCATGAACCAAAATAAATCTCTTCTCCTTTAATTTTTGGGTGTTTGGTATTATGTCTCAGTGGCAAAAAAAAAAAAAAAAAGTGACTAAGATGATGATACCAGAAAGGTGGCATCCTTACGAGGACTATACCTGACCATGTGATTTAGAAGCCTTTTGAAGTCATTTGAGGAGGGGCTTAGAAAGGTTTGGAGATGCTAGCTAGAGACGGTGTGAGCTGAGCTTGATGTGGGATCCTAGGCAGGGTTCAGAAGAGCAGAATGCTCCCAGAGGTGCAGACAGTAAAGACCAGGCTCAGGAAGTTTCAGTTGAGAACAATGACATCATGGGCAGTTGGACTGAAGGCCATATGTATTGTTCTTTGGGAGAAAATTTATCTACATTTTGCCCATATCTTGAGAATTTACTGGAGTTTGAGGGTAAGTATAGTAGGCTAATTAATCTTGTGGAGGAAACTTCAAAGTACCCAACATTCAGGCTGTAGCATGAGTACTGCTTTCTACTTTTGCAAGAGCTACTGTGAGAAGCAGGCACAAAAATTCAAGTTGAATAATTTGAAGAATTTGCTGGTGGTTAGAAAGGAAGCACCTGCAAAAGTGGTGCTTTAGAAAGCAAGGTTACTGACAAGATTAAAAAGAAGGAGAACAATAGAAAAGATTCCTTGAGGGCATCTTGGGAATCAGCAAGACCCCACTCTTCGCATAAAATGTGTTGTAAAGGTAAAAAAACATTAATTTGAGTAGAGAGCCCAAGGGAACCCAACTCATCCAGGACCAGCTAGGAAACAGTTCCAGGAGCTCAGTGAACAAGGTACTCAGAGGCCTCTGTAGCCATGATCCAAAGTGGCCTGACTATTGCTTGACCTGGCAACAGACCTTAACATCACCCAAATGGTGGTGGTTTTACAGGCATGCAGAATGCAAGAGTTGTGGGGTCAGGGAGGCTTCCAGCCAGATTTCAGAAGCAGGCCTGGGAAACCAGGCAGTGTGCCCCTGATAGGGCAAAGTGTGAAGCTATGAGTGTGAAGTTGAAGGTGCAGTGGAGACCCCAGGAAGCTGGAAATGTCAGAAACATGGAACATCTGCTGAGGAAGCTTGCAGTAAGTAAGCAAAACCACACCCAGAGGGAAACCATGTGGGCGCCAACCTGTAGCATTATAGGGGCAAGACTGCCTAAACTATTTGGAGTTCACATTTTTGCCCAGGTGCCAGATAGGGAGCTACAGAATTTAATATTTGCTCTACTGGGTTTTGGTCTTGCTTTTATCCCATTAGTTTCTGTTGGAAGAAATATTGGAAGAGTTTAACTTTCTTTTGATTTTCGCAGGGCTCACAGCTGAGTTTGCCTTTAGCTCTCAGAAGAAACGTTAGAGTTGAACTTTTCAGCAGTGCTGGACTTTGGTGACTCTTACAGATTGACTAAATGCAATTTGTATGAAGAGATAATACAAGCCTTTTGGAGGCCAGGACTGGAACGTTATAGCGGTTTAGATAGAGAATGTCACCCACAGGTCTCATGCTCTCATAGGTGGGGTTTTGGGAGGTTATTGGGTTATGGGGGCACTAAAGCTGACTTGCTGTTGGTAGGTGGCTCATGGTCAAAAGAGTCAGTTCATGGGGCATGTAACCTGGAAGCATGTATCTTTCTCCTCAGCTTGTCCCTTTTTCCTCTGCTTCCTGGCTGCTATGACATGAGTAGCTTTTCTTCTGCTGTGCCTCTTTGTCTTGGAGCCAGTAACCATGGGTCAAAATCAACTTTTCCTCTTTTAAGTTATAGGTGTTGGGTATTGCATCTGAGCAATAAGAAAATGACTAAGACAGTCATCCATACAAAGAATTCCATGCTCAAGTTCAGTGGCAACCAGAGATATGGACAATAATATTGAGATTTCATTCATGTGTATGCACACACATGCACTCACGTGTGCACATGCTATTGGGGATTAGACCCAGCACTGAGCTGCATCCTCAGCCCATTTTTCATTCTCCCCCATGACACAAAAAGTCAGACACTATCAGGAGCCAACTTGGTTAGTGAGTAAACAGAGTCAGGGTCTGCATGCATCCCTAGTGTCCTGGTGACTCACATGGGCTCCAGGGCCCAGGACGCCAGGCTACAGAGAAGGATGAATACTACTCTGAATGTTTCCCCTGCCCTGCCTGCCTTTCCTCCCCTTCCTTCACTCTTGTAGTTCTTCATCCCCTTCTCTTTCCTTTTCCTCCTCTCCTTTCCTCCACTTCTTCTTCCATTCCTCCCTCTCTTCCATCTGCTTTCTCCTCCTTTTCCTCCCCCTCCTCATCCTCAGAAGCCATGGCATCATCCTGGCCATTTTGCAGGAGGGCTGATAGTGTCTGTGGAATGTTTCCCTCACACCACAAAGCATTAGATGGCAGTGGCTCCTGCAGGAGTGATTTCTGCATGCACATCTCAGTCTGGGGCTCAGGCTCAGGCTCAGGCTCAGGCTCAGGCTCAGGCTCAGGCTCAGGCTCAGGCTCAGGCTCAGGCTCAGGCTCGCTCCAGCCTTCAGCTCAGCAAGCAAGCCCAGCCCCGTGTGTCCATGGCTGAGTACGTTTTTCTCTCTCTTTCTCACTCCAGTCTCTCTGTGAAACAGAACCAAAGTCCTGGTTCGCCAACAATCAGCTGAATTACAGTTGGACTGTTGGAGGGGCTTGCTGTGTTCCCAGCAGGGATGTGCTCAGGAGTCTGGCCCCAAAACTGTGGCTGAACCCCAGGGGGATGTTTGTCTGCTCCCTGCCTGCCTGTTTTGGTGGTGTCAGATTCCAAACTGGGCTACCTCATGCTTTCAGAAGGCAAACGAGGCAGCTAAGACCTTCAGGAACAGGCAGAGCCCCACTGGCCTGATTGCTGAATGTTTTCCCACGCAGAGCATTCATCTAGAGTAGGCCGAGGGCCTGGACCTGGCAGGCAGCACTCAGTGGAAGGACCTGCTGGCACTCAGGCCTGATAAGCAGCACGGTTTTCTGTTGCTTGCACCCTGCCAAATGGAACGTAATCATTCGCTAGGCACTGATTACAATCCTCACCGTGACCCTTGGAGGAAGACATTGTCACCTCTGGTGTGTACATGAGGAAACTGATGCTCAAAAGGCTGAGAGATCTGCCCCAGGCAACAGATAGCAAGAGCATTGTGGGGGCTAGGGCCATGCTATGTACCTGGACACAAGCCCTGCTGGTCAGGATGGGGCAGAAGGGGGCTGTGTCCCACGCACGGGGACAGTAAGCATGAGCTGATGTTAGGAGAACAATTAAGAGTGGGGAGACTCCACCATCTCCGCAGGGAAGAAAGTGGGAAGACTGATACACAGCTGTTTCCCTACACTCTTCCTGCACTCTGCGTGCTGTGTGGCAGACACCCCTGGCCTTCACTTCACCGAGTAGGTCTTCTTGGGGATGCAATGATTAAGTTCTGTTTCTTTTTGCTGTGTGACAGCTTCTCCTCTTGACCTGCCTCTGGGGTCTGGTATCAGGAATCAGGTAGCGGAAAGGAAATCAACTCCATAGGCCCTCTACCCCCAGTTCAGACCAGGCTGTCGGATTTACAGCACTGCTGAGATGGAGAAGCCATTGGCGTCCCTGGCCTGGCTTCCTTAAGGGGCAGGGTTCTCCCGAAGGCCCTAGGCTTTTGTGTCCTGCTGTGGGTCCAACATGGCTCTACCCTCTGGTAGAGCAAGGTACAAGACATGCAGGCTTTCTCCAGCTTCCTTCAGGCTTTCTCCAGGGTCTCTACCCCTACCGCGTTCGTGAACATCTCCCAACTTGCCCTCGTCCTGGCCTCAGTGCTGGCCTTGCCCGCCACTGGCCCAGATCTGCATAATCACCAGACCCTCCTGCCTCACAGCTATCGCCAGCAGAGCAAACTCTGACAGTGGTGCTAAGTGTCATGGAACTGGGACCAGGAGACTCCAGAGCTCAGACCACTTGTGACTAATGTGACAAAGGTCTAACTGGCAATAGAGCTGGGCCTAGAAGCTGGATCCCCTGGTGCCCTCCCAGGGCTCCTTCCACTGTTCAAGGGATCCCCTGGGGGACATCGGGCTCCTGGAGGGAGATGATGCTCATAATTATGCCTGGCAGCTCTCTCCTGCCCGTCAGGGGTGTGCACCACTGTGAACAGCAGTGTTTCTGCTTTCACTCACACTCTGCGCCTACGAGGGAGCCCTCTGCCCAGCGAGGCATGAGCCGGTGTCGGGCTCGCAAACACTTAGACCATGACCCTTCTTGCAAGCGTTTGCAAGAGAAAAGAGCAGGCATCACGAGGCTGCGATGGAGACATTTGTGTACAGCCTGCTGTGTCGTCTGCTCCTTAAACAAACCACAAGATGAGCCATCATCACGCCCACCCCTGACATTTGAGAAGTCCAAAGCAAATGCATGAGAGCAGGCCCACGCGCCATGTGTCTAAATGTTTGAACATTATAAATAAAGCTAATAAACTGTGAAATAAGGTTTATTCTTCCCTCCTGCCTGTGCAAATATACCCTTATAGCAACCTCAAGGTCGGGCTCTGAGCTCACACCCTTGGACTCCAGGAACTCGGTGGGGCGTGGGGAGTCGGTCTCAGCCCCCACCCCGGGCCCCCTCTTCTTCTCTCACCCCAAGAACCAGTACCAAGGGAAAGGGCCCGCCAGTCTGACAGTTCAGCCTCCACCCAAACCTCATAGGGCAGGAAGAGGCTGCTCAGGCCCCAGCGTGGACCACTGGTCTGCAAATTCCTGGGTCTGGTATCAGAGCAGAAGGGGTTGTGGACTGAGGGAGAAGTCCCGGGAACCACAGCCACCGACCCGGAGGAGGCCCAAAGCGAGGCACCCTACATCCCCGTGCAGGCCAGGGATGCCCCGTGGCCTTTGCAGCTCAGTGCTGAAAGAATGATTCCCACTGCGTACATGAAGTGGCTGCACTGCTGAAGTGACTGCTGCAGGCACAGTGATCAGCAGCTGCGCAGGGCTTGACCCTGGGCTGCCTGACCGCAGCCCCCTGCTGATTCCCTCCGCCACCGGCTGTCCCCATTCGTTCCTTCCCATCGTGGTTCTCTGGGAAATGCAGCGAGCCCTGTTTCCGTGAGGCACCTCCACCGCGGTCCGCAGGATCCCATCTGGCCCCTGGCCGCTGCCTCGAGCCCTCCACTCCGACTTCGGCACGGGACGCCCCGCCGCGCAGGCTGAGGGCGCTGGTCTTCCAAGCCGGGCTTCCTCCACAGCCTCCCCGCCCTCAGGGTCCCTGCCGGAGCCTGCTCTTCCTCCTCACCTGGGCCCTGGTGGCGGTGACACCCCAGGACCTAGGTGGACGCTCAGCTAGCTAGCTTCCCACTAAGAAAATACATAATCCCCACGCCTCTCCTGGGCTGGCAGCTCAGAGGGACGGGCACCTAAAGGGACCCCATGGGCTCCTTGCAGGTTGGAGAGCCATCCGCATGGCGGGTCCACCTCTTCTGAGACGTAAGAGCAGGGAAGCGCCCTGGTGGCTAAATCCACCTGACAACGCTCCCCGGTTCCTCTGGAAACCCACACCACTGCCCCTTGGCCCCGTGGAAAAGTCCTTTCCTGGGCAGATGGCAGAAGCTGGTGGACTCCGACCTCGCCTTTGAGTCCTAAAGGCCCTCTGGAGCGGGGCAGGGTGGCACCCCCAGCCTCCCAGTGTCCTCTAGATCATAAAGCCAAACAGAAATGTCATCTCTTTCTCATGCAGTGAGCATGGCTCAAACCGCCAGTGCAGGGCGAGGTGAATGACGGGGACACAGACATGGAGTTTCCTGCAGCAGCTGCCGCCCATAAATGGGGATCAGAGAGTGGAATGTGGGGAACTTTGTGCCCTTCGAGTGCAAGAGAGCAGAGATGCTGTGCAGCTGTTGGGAGCGGCTGAAGCTGGAAAGTACTTACGCCTGTGGGACGAAGCCAGTCCGAGAACACGGGAGCTCCTCGAAGCACATAAACAAGCTGTTGCAGCTTCTTAACGGATTATTGGGTAGAGAGGTTGAAATTAATATAGACATCTCCAGGGCACAAATAAACGCTCTACTGTTCTTGGGTGTTCCTCTCCTCTGCTTAGGAGAGAGGGGATCTCCCCCTGACCCAGCTCTTGTCTCTTGTCCATCTTTTCCTCATTCCCACCACCCTGTTCCTCCCTGGGGTACCTGAGAGGCCAGTGAGTCCCTAGATCCAGCTGTGCACTCTGGTTCTTTGGGAAAGGGGAGGCCTCCTGGGGGTCAGCAAGGCCCCCCCTCTGTCTTGACATCATCTCCCACAGCCTTCCCCACCCCTGCTCCACATTTGCTGCCTAGGGGCCTTTGCACTGACTGCTCTCGCCTGGGGCCCCTCCCCCTGCTCCCTCATCCAAAATCTTTGCTCTGAAACCACCTTACTAACGAGGTCAGCCCCGCCCCCACTGCCACATACACACGCCATTGCTTTTCAGTCCAGGCCTCCAGTTTTGCTCTCTGTAACTGATGATATTGCTAATTTACCAGGACCTCGCTTCCCCCAATGGGATATTAGCACTCCCAGGCAAAGGCCTTTATTGCAGTTGTTCCCTAAGAGCCTAGAACACTGTCTGCTATTTAACAGGTGCTAGTTGATACTTATTGTGCGGGCAGAGAAGTGAATCTGGGAAAACTCTAAAAGGCAGGGTGGGCACTTTGAGTTTTAATTTTAACGCCTTGAAAGTAAAGGGCAGAGTTTACCCTGTTTGTCTTAGTGTGGCTGCAAGGAGACCAGGTCCGGTTGACGGTGGCAGGGGGAGGGAACGGCCACACCCACCCCTGGGGGCTCTACACAGGGCAGGGAGGGTCTCCAGGGACATTCCAAAGAGCAGCAGCCAAAGTGCTCTGCTGAGTAGTGACCATGCCAGGGCCCTGGCTGGGCCCCAGGTCTTCTGCCCTGGGAAGTGGGCTCCATCCTCCTGTGTTTTCATGCAGCGCCCCTTCGTCTCTTCCAGCACCCCCGAAATAGGCTACGCAGCATCCCTGAGCCGATTTTTCTGATGTGGTTCAGCAGTCTCAGCTCACACCTGTCTACCTACACTGCAGGGGCTTCACCAGGAGCTAAGGAGCTCGAGGGATGGAGGGAACCAAGTCGTTACTTTGCGGTTTGCACACGCAGCTGTCCATATTCACAAACCCCAGCCTGGCCCATCCAGAGCCGAGACAGTGGTGGGTGGAGATGGGGATGTGTCCAGAGGTGAAGGTCGAGGTGGAGGTCATCCCTGCAGTGTCCTCTAGCTCAGCGGTGAGGGCAAGCAGCCCCCAAAGGACACCAACATGAGCAAGGGGCAGAGGACGCCTGCAGGGCAGGAGGGAAAGAGAGAGGAAGATCGACAGGTTAACTCTGGGGGACCCTTCTGTCCCAGGCAGGTAGGAACCGGGCTTGGCGAGGTCTGGGAGGAGGAGACCACCTTCCTCGAGGCCTGAAGGTCTGGGGAGTGGGGAGCGGGGCAGGACGCCCTTGCTGCAGCCAGACTGTACCCCGCAGAGATATCTTCGGACTGTACCCCCCAAAGATATGCCCCAGCCCCAGCTGCCGTCCTCTGTGTCCTGGGTGCCTGCAGCTCTGGATTCCCCGGGGCCAGCAGTGATGGACCCTTGCCCCACGGAGTCGCTGCCAGGCCTCAGGCTTGGCGACAGCCCAAGCCTCCGTGGGTGGAGCATGGGGCTCAGGCTGGGGCGTGGGGTTCCTGTCCCCTCCACGCAGGCGGAGCGCTGACAATGACAGAGCCACACAGCTCTGCTGGTTTTTTTTTTTTTTTCTGGGAAAGTGGGGTTTGGGCTTCATGAAAAATGGATGTTTGGGTTCGTTTTTTTCTGGGGTCGGTCGGCCTGCGGCCGGCCCGCTGTGCGCCGGGAGGCGAACTCGGGGGGCTCTAGGACCCGCGCGCTCGGACCCGGGCCCGGCCTGAAGAGGCCGCGACGACGCGCAAAGGCGGGCGCGAGAGCGCTGCGTCTCCAGGCAACCGCCCTGACGCAACGCAGAGAAAACCACGTCCCTTCAAAAGAACAGTGCCGAGGATCCACGGGAGGCGGGAGCCGCCAGCGCCGGGCAGAGCAGGCGGCGGGGACCAGGCGCCAGCGCCAGCGCCAGCGCCGGCGCGACCGCGCGGACGCCTCCCGCGCCGAAGGTGGGTTCACGCCCTGGGCCGGGAGGAGGCCGGGGAGGGTCCCAGGCACCTGCTCCGGGCTCGCACCCCTCCCCCGGACGGGCGGCTGCGCTGCGCTCCATCCCGGTCTCAGCACCCTGCTGGCCTCTCCACTCCAGGGCTGAGAATCTGGGTGGGCGTTTGGGGTCAGAGGGGCTGACACAGACTGCCCAGGTCAGCCGTGACCTCCACGCCCGCCTGTCTCCTTCACTCGGGCTTGGCCCCCTCGAAGTTCCAGACCCCAAGACTGCAGTCACAGCTCAAGTGACCCAGGGCATGGCCCCCCACGGTTCCCCTATCGGCTGAAGCCGGGGTGGGAGGGGCCGTGCGCCCAAGGCCCTCACGGAAAAGACAGGTCAGCCATGTAGCCGCGCACCAGGGTCAGCGGGCGGGCGGAGGGGCCACGACCGCAAGAGCGAGGGTCTCCTTCAACCAAGTCAGGTGGACGTAGTGCTTTTTTGCAAAGCCCTTGGCACTGCATCAGGTGCTTCCTGTCTTGCTGGGAAGACCTGGAGGTAGGTGGCCCCCGGTGGCAGGGGCTGGTGCTGGCTCACCCGCAGCAGATTCTCCTGAACCAAGCTGCTACACACTCCCTGTCATCCCGAAAATCCCAGACGGTGAGACGGTCCCCACGCACAGGGCTATCCCCACGGTGCCCAGGGGAGTCGTGGCTCCAAAGCAGCTTCCTTTCCATGCCCCAGGGACAGGCGTCCTGCTCAGGAAGGGCTGGCATGGTCCCGGGGAAGCCCAGGTGACGGCACCTGTAGCCTGACTGCATCCACAGGGTGGGGGCTCCTGCCGCCGTGGTTTCGGGGCCTGGCAAAGCAGCCTCGAGCCGTTCTTCCTGCATCTGTTTGCTGAGTGCTGCTGCCAGTCACGCCCTGCCGGGACCCCTTCACGCCTGCAGTCGCCTTAGGCTCGTGACCAGCCTGCAGGGTTCAGTGGTGTGACAGTGTGGTCAGAGGAAGTCAGAGGTTAAGCCAGTGGGTGCAGCTCACGCAGCTGGTGAAAGAGCAGAGATTCACATGCCTGCCTCCCCAGACTCCTGAAGCAGCACTGTCAAAGGAGCGCTGTCGTAGGGAATCCGAGGGGTTCCCTTGTCCAGAGAAGGGAGAGAAGCCAGTCACATCCAGATGAAATGAGAAGTGTTCTGGGCTCATCCTGTGACCAAAGAAGGTCCCCTGCCAGCTTCAGGGATGCAGTGGAGGCAGCAGACGTTTGTTACGTCCAGTCTGGAGGGTTTGGCCAGCTTCAGAAGGCTCCTCCTTGCTGACCCGAGAGCCCAGACGCTGTGCCCTTGCTCCCGTCCTCATCCTCCCGTTTGCATGCATGGATTCGCTGAGTGACCAGTCCCTGCTGCCCTCTCTGCTAGCTCGGCTGCCCTCCGGGGGGTGTAAATAAATCTCGAGACCCATGCAACCCAGGCAGGGAGGGAACAGCTGGCGGTCAGTACCTAGTCACACCAGGTAGATCTTGCTAGTGGACAATAACCAGGGACCCAGGGACAGCCCAGGCTCCTGGAGCTGTGCTCTGCCACAGGATGGCTCTTCACTTGACTGGGACCCTGAGCAGCTTGCCAAGGTGGAAGATGACCGATCATCCGTTGGCCGTGGGGATGGGGAGTCCTCGAGAGCCACTTATAGGCATCCCTCAGGAGTCGCTGGGGTGGCTCTGATGTGTGGGCACCTGGTGCTTGCAGGGGTGAGCGGGGAGGGTGGGGACAGCTGGCAGAGCAGGGGCACAGGGAGCAGGCAGGATGGGCTGGCGGGGAGGAGCGAGCTGGAGCAGACCTGTGGGAGCCTGGCGTCCCAGCCGCTGCAGAGGAGTCCGGAAGACTGCAAACCTCGGCGTTTCCTTGGCTGGGCCAAGTGTCCTGTCCACTGGAGTCCAGCCCTCCCTCCCCCGCCTCTCTCTCCAGAAGAAAGCTCAGACAAGGAGTGGGAGGAACAGCAAGAGGAGTCAGAGGCTGTGCTGCCCCACCCTGCCCGCTTTCTTCCCTGCCACTCCAGACCCTCACCTCCGTCCACAGCACCGCTCCTCTGGTTCCCGTGCAAGGAGAAAGGTCCTCTGCTCTGGGGCAGCTCTGGCCCCGGGCCCTCTGGCCCCCGAGCTCCTCCTGGGAGTGCCTGCACTGGGTCTTCTCCTGCCTGACCCACCCCACAGAGGACTCTCCAGAGTCCCAGCCCAGCCGGTGTCACCTCTTCCCCAGCAGCCTCGGCAGGTGGGGTTCAGTTTCTCTCCGTGAAGTCACAAATTGAGCACCCTCTTAATCCTTGCCAGGTACCTGCTGCAGATGTGGGAACCGGCAGTGGCTCCCCTTGGCTCCCTCATGGTACATCCCTTGGCACAAGCAAACGCTTGTCCAGGCTCATTTTCCAGGCAGAAAAGCAGGTGTGCATAGCCCCAGATGATGGCCTCCATGGTGGCCACCGTCCCGGGCTTCTGCAAAGCTGGAGAGCACGTCCTCATCCCAGGAAGCCGGCAGTGCCTCTGAGTCAGGCTGGAAATGGCCACCGGAAGGTCCTGGATGCAGGCCGTGGCTGCGAGGCCACTCAGAGCCTGGCTCTGCCTCATCCATCATCAAATCAGAAAGGAAACTGGATGCCTGGTCCTGGGAGCATCGCAGCCCCGGGGACCCTGAGGCAGGCAGGAACTGACCACACATGCCCTTTGGTCACACAGGCAGATGCTCGCAGCTGGTTGTGCTGTCATCACTGTCATTTTATTTGGTTGGTTGCAGCTGCTGCCAACCTAGAGGAAGGTGACCGCAACCCCACTCTCAGATGTGCGTGAAAGCAAGCCTTAGAACGCATTCTGCCACACAAGCAGTCACTAGATGCAGACAGCCTGTCTCAGGGCATTGGCGAGGTCCCTGCGATCTGTCTCCTGCTGCCCTGAATGCCTTCCCTGGAAGGCTCAGTAGATCCTTCTGCTCGCCCCTGTCCAAGTCAAGCCTCCCAGGAGTTTGGGCAACCTGAATACCTCTGTCTTCATCGACAATGGTGCATCCCTCGAAGTTGCTTTGCTAGGTACCAAATGCTTGCTGCTTCTGGGGGTGAAGGCTGGGGTGAGCTGTCCTAGCTGCCTACAGAGGGGGGACTCCTCCTGTGAGATGGGTGTGGGAGTCTCGACTTGAATGCAGCTGAGTTGTAGCCGGCGCACTAACACCACGCTGTGCCGTGTCCGCACGGAATTTAAGGTCAGTAATGCCGAGTGTGCGGAAGATGCTCAGGATGGTGGGCTGCCCTCCGGCAGCACAGAGTGTGGCTGGGACTGCTCAGAGGTCCTTGCGGTTTGTGCAGCCAGAGCAGGAAGGTGATGCTAAGTAGCACAAAGGTGCTTCAGGGTACTGTGGTGGCTCCGAAGCTGCTTTACCATGTGACAGGCCAAGGACAGCACTAGCCAGACATGGTGAAGGGCAGACAGCAGCAGTCCACCTAGGGCCAGAACTCAGAACTCATACACCTTTCTCCTTCCATCCTCCCAGACTGTGAGGCAGCCTCCACTGTGGTCCTGTTCTGCATGAGGAACCTTAGGCCTCCGGGGTTGAGCCAGTTGACCAAGGTCGTGGAACCAGCTTACGCAGTAAAGGAACACAGTGACACTCTGCCTGTTCCGTCCTGCCTACAGGCACCCAGGACACACATTCCCTCCACACCCCAGCATGTCCACAGCACCGCTGCTGCAGCCAGCTGCAGCCCCTGCCATTCCCAGCTGGTTGAAGCCACCCTGGACGCCCCTGCCTCCCCAGGATGGACCCACCTGCACTCCAGGAAACACTAAGCCCTCCAGCTCCGAGGTCGGCAGGCCCAGACCTGCAGCTCGCATTAACACGCAGGCACCATGGAGCCTCTTAGGAAGTCCTTGTGCAATGGCTGGGCTGGGAACTTGCAGAGTAAGACAGAAAACAAGTCGTTAGAAGGACAAATCCCACTTGAACTGGAGTTTGTTGATTTTGCTGATGTGAAGTTGGAGCCAGTTATCCTGAGGTCTGAGTAGGTCTCACTGCCCTGTTTGGAGGCTGAGACAAATGCTACGTGGGTGACTGTCTGGTGGGCTGTGGAGTGCTCAGCTGGGAAGTGTCCCTTTTCCTATAGCCAGAGCTGCACTCTGCTTGCCTATCTGCAGATTGCTCCAGTCCATCTGCTTTCTGTGCCCAAATACACACTGCCGCTGTGGCCTTTGGCCAGAAAAGTCCTGTGGTTACAGGTGTCAGGTGGCTGGGAGGCTGACACGCTGCCTGAGCCCCATCCTGGGCAGACACCCCTACCTGGTCATTCTCTGCATTCCCCACAGCCACTTCCCACCCCAGACCCAGATTCTCAGGTTCACAGGCACCTCGCCCCCTGCCCGCCACAGCAGCCCTTCCCCAGGGCCTCAGAGGGGACATGGCAGGGACACTGGGTGTCTCCAAGCTCCCGCCTCCTTAGAGCAGCCCTGTGCTTTCTCCTCTCCTTTCAAGGAAGCCATAAATTAGACGTTTGGCTCCAGGAGCCTGGGCCTCCTCCGGACTGACCAACAGCGAAGTGCAAGTCTTTCTTGGCAATTTTCTCCCTAACTTCTTTCGCGGGTCAAAATGAAAGAAGAGGTTTCTACACTCCCAGGCTTCTTGCAGGAGGACTGTGGGTCACCTCTCAGCAGCAGGAGCATGGCTCATCCATTATTCAGCACTGACCCAGCACTTTGAATGTGCAAAGATCTTAGGTATTTGCAGAGATTCTTCCTCATGTCTGGGCAAGAGGAAGCAAGTTTTACAGTTTTCCAGACAACAGAAACAAGGGTGAGCTTGGAGTTAAAGGATTCTGGTCCAAGCCCACGCAGCGGCACTCATGGACATGGTGGCCTGTTCCAGTCTCATGATTTCTCTGGTTTTTGGTTTCCCAGCCATAGTGTGTGGGAGAAAAAAAAAAAAAACAGCCATAAACTGAAATGTGATTTAAAAATGTCTGTGATTGCTCCTGCTATTCCAGGTGTGTAAATGGAAGCTTTGAATTCTGAGCAGAGCTGCACCTGTTAGCCCAGGACCTGCAAAGCGAGCTTCGAAGTGTGAAGGTCCCCAGGAGAATGCAGGTAAGCAGGTTGCTCTGCCCTTAATCTGGGCAGGAGCAGATCTGAGACCTGGTGGGCTGAACCCCATCTTCAGAAGGAAGGAGAGGCCGTGGCACCCAACCCAGCCAAGGCCTCCTTCAGAAGGAGGGGTGGATTCTCACGGGGCTTTCAGGGAGGGTGATCATACTGTACAAGTTGTGTCCAGAAGTGGAAAGACCGGGGCCACCCTGAGGGGCAGCAGGTACCACTGTGGGGCACTCCTGCCTACCGTGTAGATCATGTGTGTACGTGTGCACGTGCATGCATGTGTTTGAGGAGGACCCTAGAGAAGACTGTCCTGCATAATGCTGACCCTAACCCTAACGCTAACCCTGCTCCCCCACCCACCAGCCACACCCCACCAGAGCACAGTCCCTCAAGGAGCCACCTGCTGCATGCACTCATGTACACACATAGTCACACAACCACCCCGTCACACTTACATATGCACCCATAAGACACACATACACACACACACACACACACACACACACACACACGGGGCGGCAGCCCCACGTACTCCCTCCCACACACCCCCCCAACACAGCGGGGCCTCTGAGTGTCCCCCAGCCCGGCATTCCCACATGGCTCTGACCAGGCGCTGGGATGGCAGTGGGTCTAGAAGGGGTGCCGGAGTGACGGGCACAAGGCCAGCCCAGCCGGTGTCCCTCCCGCTTCGGTCACCATGGTAACCTGAGGCAGAAGAGAAGGGCCTGGGCAGCTCCTGCAGCAACTCTGCTGGCGCGGGCTCCATCCCCTCCCCTCCGCCCCCTCTGTCTGCAGAGCCCCGGTGGCCACATCACAGTCTCCGCCCGCCACACTGGGTGCAGCGGGGAGGTCAGCGCCATCGCCTGGGGCTTTCAGTGTGAGGCCAGCATCGGGTTGATGATTAAACCCGGATGGAGAGGGCTGTGGGCCCCAGCTCTGCCCTTCCCTGTTCACCTGGGACACGAGGAGCTGCGATGCCCACCCAGGACAAGGGGACTCGCGTCCTCAGAGCAGGAAGAGACGCGGGAGGGGCCTGTGAGACGCCACCTCACGCCCAGTCAGAGACTGTCCTTAGCCAGGCTGACTCTGACGGGGTCCCGAGGCTCAGCCACCCACCCGGCACACTCAGTGGGAGGACACAGCAGCTTGCACGCGTGTGTGAGCTCTGACACTGCCTGCGCCCCGAGCAGCGGGTGGCCTGGACAGCCTCAGGGCCTGACTGCCACGCTGACCCAGCACGCTCACCCCCAGACCTGCCCGGTGGAGGAAAGGCAGAGCCTGCAGGACTAACCCACGTGTGGCCTCTTCTGCACTCCAGAAACTTCTCAGAGGACGCGGGAAGCCACAGACGGAAAGTTTTCCACATGGGTGGGGCTGGCAGGCAGCGGCCAGCTCCGACCTGGGCTGTGCTCGGGAAGGTGGTGGCCACTCAGGCCCTGCCACAGTTGGCCCAGCTGAAGGGAACTAGAAGGCCTGTCCAGCCTCCCTTGCCGCGCAGACGTGGACCATGGTCATAGTCCAGGTGGTCTCCACAATAGGGCTCGTGTCACAGGACAGCACAGAGCAGGGCACAGCTGCTGTCTCCAAGGCGACAGCTCCCAGAGGATGCTGGGTAGGCGAGGGAGGGAGGCGCAGAGCCTTGGCCTTCCCAGCCAGCTCACGTCGCTGGCTCCTCCCTTCCAGGCTCCCCGCCTCACCCTGGCCTGTGCACTCTGAGGGCCTCTGCGCCGGTTTCCCTGCTCCGTGCTGTTTCCTCATCTATTGTGGAGTGACCGTAGTTTGTGGATCGCAAGGTTCTCATGCACCTGGGGTGCCTGGTGCATGTCAGCGCTGGATGTGTGTGGTGAGCTTGACTGCACTGTGAAGACAGCACTCACAGGAAAGTTACCAAGCAGGATCTGAGCTGCGTTTTAGAAGGTGACTGGGGCCGGGCATGGTGGCGCACACCTGTACTCCCACCACTTGGGAGGCTGAGGCAGGAAGATCATGGCGAGTTCAAGACCAGCCTGGGCTACAAAGTGAGCTCAAGGCCAGCTTGAACTGCACAGCAAGACCCTGTCTCAAAAGGACAAAAAAAAAGAAAAAAAAAAAAAAAGAAGTTGACTGGCACTGTGGACGGAGGAGTCCTGGTGAGACACGCAGGGGCCAGAGGGCAGGGGACAGTGCCCACATCCTTGGGCTTAGGCCTTGGGTCAGGAGCATAGGCCGTGTGGGGCCTGGTGGGAAGTGCACCCCGCCCAGCCACCCGCAGCTCCCTGGGACGGACCCACACTCCCAGGAGCCAGCACCATGGCCTCGGTGTTTTCCTGTGTGAGGTAGGAGTAGGTGAGACCCGATGTGTGAAAGCCTTAGAAAGTGACATTATTGTTGCCCTGCCTGTGCTGGCGCTGGGGACATGTCTGCAAGGTGCCTACTTTCTAAATAACGCACCTCTTTTCCTGAGCCCCTTGCCAGGCTGCGCCGCTTTTCAGTTGTTTGCCCCAGCTGCTGGGCACTGCAGTGGGTGGAGAGGAACGCATGACCAGAGGACAGCCACTTCTGTACAGCGACGGGGTGGCACTTCTGCCAGGAGGCGCAGGACAGTTTGACACTTGCTGTCATGAGCTGTGAATGGGGACACACATCGGCTAGGAGTGAGAGGGACTCGGTACAGTCTCCCCAAGAGGACAGGCAGCCATGTACTCCAGGGGTCCCAGCTGCAGGTGGCACCCCTCGCCGGGACACAGGGACATGTGGGCGGGCCTTTCGTTGTCACGGTGACACTTCACGACCCTGCCTGGCTCTCATCACACACGTTGCCTCTGTGCATGAGTCAGGGCCCCTGAGCGCCAGCAACCAGAAAGGATCCGGGGGCTCGAAGAATTGGCGAAAAGGCAAGTCCCGAGGGAGAAGGCAGGCCACACCAGAGGGCAGAGCTGGAGGCCGGCAACGGTCCTGTCGTGGGGACAGTTTGGCTAAGATGGTGCTAGCTCCGGGCTGGCAGCACGCACACCAGACAGCCACAAAGCTGAGTCTCAGGGGGCCTGAGCCTCTGACTGGCCGGGCTGCAGTCACTGCTCTCACCCGGTCACCAGGACCTGGAGGCGGACAGGAGGGAGGCTTTGGTCTTCTGGCCAAAGAGAACAAAGCAAAGGGTGCTTCGCCTGCTGTCGCCAACTTGGTTGTTGCTCACTATAACCAGGGAAGCAGGAGGGCAGCTAGGGCAGACCAACAGGCAGAAGCCAAGTATCTGTAAACACCCCCGTTTCTTTGCCATCCCGTCTTCAACACACGCTTCCACCAGTCAGTTATAAGTGTCAGAACCCAGCTCAGAGGAGCTTAAACCCAGCAGGAGCATTTGACAGCCGTGTAATCAAGGTTGGGTGGGGTGGCTTCCAACCAGGCCTAATTGAGGGCCCCAGACCATCCTGTCTGCCAGGCATGTGTGCCAGCAGCCCTTCCCCAGGGAGAACTAGAGACCTCAAACCCCCAGGCAACCTGGGAGCAACACAGCTGATCTGAGCTTGCTGGGGGCTCAGATCCGCCCAGGTGGGTCATGTGACCAGGTAGAAGGGATGTCAGCGCAGCAGGGCCATGCTCCCCACAGTAGGGAGCACCCTTTCCAGAGGAGAGAAGGTTCTGTCTGGGTCCAGGAGGTCCTGCCTGGGTCCAGTTCAGAGTCTCTGGATTTGACACAAGCTGAAGCTGTTCCTGATGTGTTCCAAATGCAGGGCTGGCACACCTGTGTCCAGGAGGTCAGAGGTCAGGGCAGGGAGAAGTGGGTGGCACCTCATGAGGACAGGTGGTAGAGGGTGCAGGGTCTCTTCTCAAATGAGAGCAAGGTCGGGCTGCACTAAGTGGAGGAGTTCTGACCTGCTCGCCCGTTCGCTGCCATGTTTCCATGTCGGATGACCCCAGGCACAAGGCTTGGTCCTCACCCTGGTGGACATCAGAGCCTAGCAGAAGGGGCCATGAAGAAAGTCCCTGGGGTGAGTGTGATGGTTTCAGAGGGGCAGGAAGCCTGGTGGTTAGGCACTAGCTTGGAGCCAGACAGCAGGGCCCCAAGTTCTAGATTCAGCTTACTCAATTAGTGACCTGGGGTAAGTCACCCAATCTGTGTGTGCCTCATCTGAAAACTGCCCCTCTGAAAGCTGGGGCTGATGCCTGCTGATCGAGCAGCACATGTGTTAGCACAGGGTACACTTCCAGGACGAGTGCTGGCGTGGTCCCTCTGAGTAATCGTTGGGTACTTACAACCTAGCCCTGGCAGATCAAGGAAGCTTCCAGAAGGAGACAATGCCCGAGAGCCCTGGCAGAGGAGGGAGGGAAGGGGCTCAGGGCTGAAGGGACGAAGTCCCGGGGGTATGAGCCAGCATGGAACTGGGGGGGCAGCGAGTTGGCAGGGGTTAGAAAGTGTGATATGTAGAGGAAGCCAATGGCTCTTGAAGAATCCAAGACAGGAAAGCTCAGATGAGCCCAGGAGGGGAAGAGGTGGAGAATTTGCCGGCGGCCCATGGGGACGTGGGCTTGAAGGCTTTCCAGCTGAGCACGTTAGGTCGTCACGGGATGAGGAGTGGACCGCCTGCCAGGACTGCACCTACCCGGATCCTCCCACAGCCGGGGAATGAGCTCATGGCTGGCAAAGCCAGGGGACGTGTTTGAACGGCAGCGTGTATGCGGCGTGGGTCTTGGGCCTGAGGGGTGCCTGCACAGCGGGGCTTGCCTGGGCGTGGAGGGATTACCGGATCTGGTCTTGTTTTCCAGAGCCCCCCAGGTCTCCAGTCTTGGCTTTTGCCTTGATCCGTGCTCCCCACCCGGGGCACCTAGGTTAGATGGAAGCCCACTTGTCCAGCATGGTGGAGGCCTCTTTCTCCCCGGGCCTAGACCGCAAAGTCCCCTGCTGTTTTGCCCATCTGAGAGGCCACCCAGCACTGGTCTCTGTCCCCAGCACCGGGTGGCACCTCTCTGCCAGCTCAGGTTGCACCCACTTCAGTGTCCAGAGTGGGAAGTGGCTGGAGGACATTCCTCCTGGACCTCCCTGGCCGGGGTGGGTGACATTCCAGCTCAGCTCCTGCACCCAGCTGGAAGGCGGGGGGAGCCCTCGGCCTCTTCAGCCACCAGGGCACCTGGGGGTGGCACAGTGCCTGGTGGGCAGGAGAAGGGAGCCTGTCCTGGCAGGTCCTCGTCATGCAGGTGTGCGGGGGGTGGCAGGAGACACGCACGGCTGGAGGCCTCAGTCTCTGCCCGGTGCTGTGGCCCCTGCCCCTCCGTGATAACCCACTCTTTAGGGGGCACGGCTCTCCACACTCTGCACGGAGCTCTCCCATAAGCACAGGGACAAGGGAGACATGGCTATGAGGCAGAACGGGCAGGTTGCATCCGGGTGGCACTGTCTAGGGCAGTGATGGCGAACCTCTTAGAGCTTTCAGTGACACACATCGCACTGTGCCACAGGTCCGCCACCGCTGGTCTAGGGCTCACTGTGGTCAGGCCCTGTGCTGGCAGCTGTTTGTCACCCTGTTTAATATGAAGACCAAGGAAGTCAATTCTGTTATTTCAGGGCTTCATGGGTGTGGAACCTGGGGATGGAAGGGCACAGGGACTCTCGCTTGGGGTATGCTTTGTGGTCACCATCCTGAAATTCTCAGGATATTTTGGGGGGTGAGGGTACTAGGGATTGAACTCAAGGCCTTCATGCTAAGCTATCTCCCCAGTCCTTTCTGAGTTTCTTATTTTGAGACAGGGTCTTTCCAAGTTGCCCAGGCTGGGCTCAAACTCGAAATCTTCCTGCCACAGCCCCCGAGTACCCCGAACCCCATAAGTGGCGTGTCCCAGCCCGGCACTGAGGCGGCTGTGTGTGGGTAGAGAGGCTGACCAGAGTCACACGGTTGGTGCTGTGTCTCGGCCCCTTGTTCTCTGCCTCCTGGGCTAGGGTGAGGCTGGAGTGAGCTTGGCACATGCCAGGAAGCTCTGCAGATGCAAGGCTGCTCCTCAGCTGACTCAGCCTACCAGCTCCTGTTCCCAGGCTCTCTGGAGCAGCTGCAGAAGCTGCTAATTAAAATGACCTCCCCACCCCACACGGTGGAGAAGTCGCAGAGTCGCAGGGTTTCCCGCCCCAGGACAGCCTGACCACGTGCACCATGTAGGACACCACCCCCTGCAGGGGAGGGAGGACGTGGCTTCCCACCCGTTAGCTCTGCTGCAGCTGGGTCCTCCCCTACAGCTCTGCTGGCTGTAACAAGATCCCCCCACCAAAGGAATCCCACTAGGGTTCAGCCACCCCAGGCACACTGCGAATGGATCCTGGCATCTCAGCAAAGCAGATAAGCAGTGGGCACCTGGGAGGGGCCCCGAAAGAGGTTCTTAGGAGGCTGCACACGACCAGATACTGCACACGCTGAGATTCAGGCAGCACAAGCGAACCTTATCCTGCCCGTCCCCAAAAGCCTACCGGTTGGTATCACCCTGCTCTCCAGACGTGGAAAGTGAGGCTCAGCAAGCCCAGCGGAGCCCAGAGGTATGGTGTGATCCCAGCCTAGCATCTCTAAGGAGACCAGCGGTCCTCAGTCCTAGGTGCTCACGTATCTCTCAGGGATGTGCTATGGGCTGAGTCCTGGCCCAGATCTACGGAATCAGAAGCCCTGGGATCAGCTGCTGCCAGAAGTCCTTGAGGTGGCTCGCTGGCCAGGAAGGGCTCCCCCAGTCAGGCAGGGGCAGGCTCAGGAGGAGGACAGTGGCCCATTGTCCAGGAGACCCCGCTCCCTGGGCAGCCCAGCCTGCCCCTTGCTTTTGCCTTCTCATTGTCTTCCTGTCCCCCTGATCCATGTCCACCAAGTCCCCACCGTCCCAAGCACACGTGGTGGCTGTTAGTTTCTTTTCTTCTTTGGGCAGGGATGTCTTTTAAGCACACACAAGTCAACAGTCACTGCCTTCGCTCCTTTTCCACAGCGTGGCGGCCGCGCCAGGCCGCGGAGCACCTGGCTTTGTCATCCCATTTACGCCTTGTCCTGGACACTGTTCCATGGCAATCCATTCTCTCTTACAGCTGCACTCCTCAGCACAGATTTTTAAAACTCGCTCGGAGAGCCAAGGTGCAGTAACACATCTGCTCTGCCACCCACTCCATTCACTCGCTCCTTCCCCGGGGACACAGGGACCTAAGGACGGGAGAGTCCCTGCTAATTCTGACTTGGTTACTTTTCTCCCTCCTGGTGGGGGTGAGATTGAGGCCGGGCTTCTGCCCTCCTAAGCATGGCGAGGAGACTCTGATCCCAGCGGGAGCCCTCCAGGGACGGCTGCGGTGCAGGCAGCTGGAGAATGTGCGACCGGCTCCTGGGAGGGTGAGTCACAAGATCATTGCTGGCTTAACAGCCCGGCTCCTTCCCTCTGCAGCCACAGGTGACTGTTCCTCCTCTGAAGAGGTGAGGTCAGGTGTTGTTGCTGAGGAGGAAGACGCGAGGTGGAGGCTGGGCGTCTCTCGGAGCCCACACACCTGAGCCGGCTGCCTGATCCGCTGACTCCGGGACCCGCAGGGACCAGCTGGCCTTGTCCTGCGCTGCGGGCTGGGAGATCCGTCTCGGTGAGTCACTTAGTATCTTCGGGACTCCGGTTTCTCAAGTGTAAAATGGGGATAAAAATAAATCTCTACAGACTTACTGGAAGCGTTAGATAATGGAAGTGGATTGTTTTAGAAATGATCAAACATGACCAAATCCTAGCGTGAGCATCTCTTCCTTGAGTTAAAGTGGTGAGGTCGTCTCGCTTCTAGTCCTCTCGTGGACCTCTCTGGGGAGCAGACGTGCCTGCCTCCGAGGGCCTGAGGAGGATGAGGACTGACACGGCTCGTGTCCTTCCCGCAGGGCCCTGCGCTGCCCGCCCTGCCCGCTGGCCTTGGATCTGCTCTGTGCACCCCAGGACAGGCGGATCCTGGCAGACGCTATCCTTACGGATTCCTGCCGTCTTGTCTGTTCCCGCCTCTGCCACGCACGGCACCCACCGGATTCCGGCACTAAGCCTAGACCCTGGACCCCACAGCTGCTCCGAGAGGCCCCAGACTGACTCTGAGCCCAACCCCACCCCAGCTGGATGCGGGCCCCAGAGCGGGCCCCAGCCTCGCCACCCGCCCGGCCTCGCCCTCTGCCCTCCGCGCCCTCCCATGTCTGGCTGCTGCGACAGACTCTAGAATGTCTGTGCCCCAGATCCGAGTGGAAGAAGTGGGTGAAGACGAGGGGCCAGCGGGAGCGGCCACCCCTCCTGATGACCACCTCCGCAGCCTGAAGGCCCTGACCGAGAAGCTGAGGCTGGAGACCCGCAGGCCCTCCTACCTGGAGTGGCAGGCCCGGCTGGAGGAGCAGACGTGGCCCTTCCCCAGGCCGGCCACTGAGGAGGCGAGCTCAGAGCAGGCAGAGTGTGGGGCCGGGGAGCCCCTGCTGGCCCCGAGAGAGGCCAGCGAGCACCCGCCACCTCCCGGCAGCGCCGGTGAGGGCGACGGGCCACTGTCCACAGGCAAGCTGGAGGGCTTCCAGAGCATCGACCAGGCCCTCACCTGGCTCAGGAAGGAACTGGTGAGTGACTGTCCCGTGAGGCCCTGGTGTGTCTCCCCTCCTCCTCCGTATTCATCCTCCCCCTCACACGCACCTGCACATCTGTAATTGTCCCACGAGACACGAGCAGAGCTCACCTCCCTGCTTCTCTGGGACCCCATGTCAATCAGGGCCTAGCCACAGACAGGGAGGGGGCGTGTGTTGTCCCTGAGACCCTGAGCTCATGTTACGGTCCCACACCCTCCCCACGGACATCTGACCCCTGGGCTGTTGCGGTGGCCCTAGAGTGGGCCTGCCCTCTTCTCTGAAGCCCCCTCCCGGCTGGCCCCCGAGACCACCCCCTTACCAGGTGAGTGGCTGCTGTCCTGCGCTGGGCAGTGGCTCTGGGCTGCCCAGCAGGGCTCACTGGGTGAGCGACCGGGAGGACGCTGCGCCTGAGAACCCTGGCTGTGAGTCCAGGGCCTGTTGTGCTGAGTGCTGAACTAACAAGGCGTGGCGTTCAAGGAGCTGCCGGGGGCCGCAGGAGCGAGCACGCCTGGGCTGAGGGCTCTGCAGAGGAGGCTGAGTAGCAATCTGCTCCGGAGTGAGGGTGGCAGTGGCGGGCGCCACATTCCAGGAGGAACAAGTATGCCAAAGGGCGTGTTGTTTTGAGCTGGGATGAGCAGCTTGACCCTTTTTCTGCCCACAGGCAAAGCAGATTCCCATCAGGAGCGCCTCCTGATGTGCAGAGCGGGGTGCCCTGTCCCCATCTCTCCTGGAGGGGAATCTTCAGGCCCCAGCATTGTGGCTCTTCAGCAGAGCTGGACATGAAGCTAAGCCTCCCCCAGCTCTCAGCCCCTGGCCTACCCGTTACCTGAGGCCCGGGTTAGGTCTACCATGTCCCAGGGACCCCGGAGTCCAGGGCAGGCTGCTCTCCGGAGCCAGGAGTGAATCTCGGGACAACAGGGCAGGCAGAGACCCATTGGCTGGTTTTGCAGAACCCTGAAAAACAAACCCCCACTGAGGCGTGCAATTTCTGAAGCTGGGTTTGGGGTGGGGAGGACCCGGGTGTCTGATTCATTAGAAACCTGTTTTGGTTTTGATGCCAAGAGGGTGCCCAGAGGACCCACTGTGTGCGTCGCTGGTGGCCGGAGTGCGTGTGCTCCCGTCTCTGCCCAGAGCCCCTGGGTGCTCATGGGGATGTGGACATGCTGTGCTCCAAGACAGACCCTGAAAGCTGCCCTTTGAGTTCCTGAGGCTGAGCTGCTTTGATCTGTTTTCATTAAAAAGAACAAAAAGTATTCCCTTTCATCAAGGAGAGAACCTGTCTTCGGGTTCATTTGTGATCCTGTTGCTTGTGGGAGCAGACGCCTGCACGTTCTCGATAAGCTTGCTTTCCCTTGGGCCCCCTTTGGAGGGGGAAGGGTGAGAAGGGATCCTCCATTCTCCGCATGTGCAAACCGGGAGGAACTTCCCAGAGCCTGTCCCATCATCCCTGTGCAGACAGAGAGGTGCCTGGCAGCCAGCCCCAGCTGTGTAACACCCATGAGACCTTGCCAGACTCCTAAAGTTTCTGCCGCACCCCAGCCCAATCAAATGAGCGTCTGGGGTGGTGCCCCATATCTGCAGCTTTGGAGCACCCCTGTGCTTCCAGTGCCAGCTGGTGGGCCAGGAAGGTGGGCCAGGTGCAGCAGAGCATTCATCGCCAGCTCCGATGTGGCTGCCAAAGGCTGTCTGAAATGGGCAGAGGGAATATTAGCATGAATAACAGTGCTTCCTATTGGCATAACATTTTCCACTGTCCCAGCCGCTTCCCTGTGCTATCAGGGCTGGGTAATAACACTCATGCTGATGATGGTGAGATTCATCCCTAAGGGAGGGCTCACATTGTGCCCGGTTCGCACTGGCATTAGTCACAGCATCTGATTGTCACGTGACCTCGCCTGCGCGGGACGCTGGCTCAGAGGACATGACAGAAAGAAAGAAATTGACACTGGAACCCCAGGCTGCCGGGTTGCACTTCTTGACTGCCACAGCACACATTGTCCTCCTAAGGGAATTGGTTTTCCTTAAAATGTGAGTTCTTGAAGATGCTAACTGTGAGTGGAGCGCATGGCGCAGGGGCAGGGAGAGAAGCCGGACTGAATGAGAGTCCCAGCCTTCCGTTCTCTCTTTGGTTCCTACAACAGCTCTGTGCACTTGTTCTTACTGTGCCCATCTTACAGATGAGTAAACTGAGGCTCCTCATGGTCAGGCCATAAGATGGTGAGATTAGGAAACAGCAGGGCCAGGGCTTAAACTCCACCTTCACCATGGCAGTAGAGCACTGGGAAATGGCAGCACTGCAGGGGACCTGGGGCACAGGCTGGAAGAGCAATGGCCCTGAACGCCAGTGTGCATGGAGAGCTCCCAAGTGTCTCATGGAAAGGAAGACTCAGGCTCCGTGGGTCTGGGCTGGGCCTGTGATGCAGAATTTCCAACAGGCTGTAAGGTGACCCCATGTGGCTGGTCCGTGGACCACGCTCTGAGTAGGGAAACGAAAGGAGGTGCCGTCTAGGGTCAGGGCACCGAGACAAGACCTCAGAGAGCAGACCAGAGCCCCTAGTGTGGGCTCCAGGCCTGGGTGCTGTTCTCACCGCCTGTGTGGGGCTGGGCTCGGCCAGTGAGTGCGCCTTGGGGACCTGCGTGCAGCATCCCAACAGTCCAAGAGCTGCATTTACGCGGAGCATGGTCCTCGTGAGCCGGAGACAGGAAGTCTGCCCCCCACATCAGGATTAAACAAAAGCAACTTTAAAACCTTTCAGCGAGGGGGAGCCATTCGAGTCCTGCTAGGTTTGTTGTTTTATTTGTGGTACTGGGGGTTGAACCCAAGGCCTTTGAACTAAGCTACATCTATATACAGCTGCTTTATTTTATTTATCTTATTTTTTATTGATTGATTACATGAGTGAGTGAGTGATTGATTGATTTATTAATTGAGACAAGGTCTCTCTAAGTCCCAAGACTGTGCAGGTTGGGCTTGAATTTGAGACCTTCTTGCCTCTGTCTTCCTGAGTACTGGGATTGCAGTCATGCATCACCACACCTGGCTTTTGCCGTTTTCAAGTCTCTGTCTAAACAAAGCTTCATGTTGTTGATCCCTAATTCACCCTCTGTGAACCAGCAAAGGTGCCTTTAAAACAAACTGACTTATTTTTTAGCCGGTGAGCATGGTTTGCATAACCTTTATTACACCGTATTTGTGTAAGCTCAGAATCGAGTTTTCTGTGCACCGGGCAGGCCCTCCCCACTGAGTAGCTGGTGTCGTGTGGGAATTTGTGTTTTCTCCATGTGGCCAATGAAATCGAGCAAAGCTCTGTGATTCAGTGGGCTAAGGGGGTGTTGGCCCAGGAGCGGGTAGGCGCCCTGCTCTCCAACCACCCGGCGGCCATCCTGGAGCTGTCAGTGGATGCTGGGAGGTGACTGTCAGCCTTGCCCAGTCAAAGGTAGGCAGTGCTGGGTCTGGAAGCACTGTCCTACTGCCTCCTACGTAGCCAGGTAAAGGGCAGAGTGGGCTGCCTGGTGGACCATTTCCATGGCGAGCAAGGGCCACACGGCTGCTCGGGCGCGCCTGACCTCACTGCAGGGAAATGACAGTTGCTCCGACACCCCTGGGGACCTCAGGTGGAGTGGCTTTTCCTGCAGCTGATGCACAGAGAATACAGGGGAGGTGCTCCCTGCGCTCCCGTGACACCAGTCGGGGCCTGCTGCCAAGACGGCTACAGTGCGCGGTCACTGGAGATCAGGGTTACCAGCTCTGCACCTTCCGGCAGATCAGTCTGTGCCCGGGGCCTGGGGTGGGAAAGAGCCTGAGGAAGCAGAGGGGAGGGGAGGTGCGACCACAAAGCCGTCAGCTCCACCCTCCAGCGGAGTGTGGCATCCAGGACATTTGCAAACGGCCCTGACCCACGGGGCTTTGGACAGGGACCCTCCCCTCTGCTTGGCTCTCACTCCTCTCACGTGGTCCCCTTGCCAATCTGGGTGCTAAAGCACAGGGACAGGAAAGGCTTCCACCCTGCCCGTGGTGGCAAAGCTGAACACAAAACATCCCGGCTTCCTAGGGGGCTGTCTTTGTGGCCAGACTCCCGGGCACCAGCAGGCATTTTTCTTGTAGTATCATGCAGGTGTTGGATCCCTGCAGATCCCCCAGGAAGGTGTTTATAGCTGTTAGGAAGAGGGAAGAGAAAGCGGACAGGTTTACATCAGACAGGGTCTGCACGGTGGGAGGCCTGGAGGCTCCACCCAGCAGGAGCCCTGGGCTGCAGCTTGGTGGCCAGCCGAAGCTGCTCCCGGCTCACCCTCCCTTGCTCAGCTGCTGTGTGGCAAGCACATGGCTCTGCTATGGCCTCAGCTCCCTGAGCCAGAACTGTCCATACCTGCCGTGGGGCCCAGCCAAGTGACAGGGATGGAGGCAGGAAGGGCCGTGGTCATGTCTCCTACGTCATGGTTCCAAAGTACCTCGGCACACAGGGTCCTCTGAGGAGGCTTAGAAGCGTTCGCTATTCCCGTTGTACAGATGAGAAGAAAGTGTAGGTTCAAAGATCAGAGGCCTGCAGGACAGAGCGGTGAAGTGACTTGTGCAGCGCAGGAGCCAGGATGTGGCCAAACGAAGACGAGCCCGCACCCCACATCTGGATGCAGACCTCCTTCCTTCATCCCAGATGCATCATGTGTTCAAGTCAGCGAGCTGGCAGAAAGCCTCAGAGCCGGGTACTTGCAGGAAGTCCGGGCGTTGCAGTGACTCGTGACAGTGCTTAGCGGGGACCAGACCCGCTTCACAGTGAGGACCTGACGGTGCTGAGCCTGGGGACTGACTCACAGGAGGGATCCTGCCCAGGCGCCCTTTGCCACAGCTGTCTGTGACACACAGGGCCTGTCACACGGACGGCCCTGGGGAGGAGGATTCCTTCTGTGAACCCCACCCCTACCCCCACAAACACCAGCGTCCTAGGCATTACTAGAGAATTTCTTGGTGAGGTCCCCAGCAAGAGACAGGGCCCAAC